GCAAGGATGTAATTGAGTTAGCAAACACACACACACACACACACACACATTCGCACACAAGCTCTGTTACAAACCCTAGTGGACTGCCTTCCTATTTGTTTGGTGCTTGAGATGCTGCCTATGAAGAACACTACAAATGAGTCGCTTTAAACATTCCATTTCAGTTCTACAAAATATGCTTTTATTATTACTGAAATTATTATTATAATATTAATTATAATATTAATGTTTATTTATTCGATTTGTAATTATTTTATTTGAATTAGTTTTGGATTTTCTATATATAAAATTAATTATTAAATCAATAATAAATTAATATTTTAAACAAAATAATGTCTGTATTTTCTTTTATTCATGTTTTTTATATTTATTTTTTTATCATTTTATATTATTAATAAATTAATTGTACATATTTTAAACAAAATAATATATGTCTATTATTATTATTTAAACTATTATTATTAATGTTATTAAATTTTAATACTGTTTATTTACATTTTTTTATTATTATTTCTTTGATTTGTAATCATTTTTATTTGATTTTTAATTAGCTTTGGAGTTATATTTGTTGTAGCGTCATTAGGATTTGGCTACAAAATCATACATGCACAAACTTTTAATTATTAAATGTGTGCAACTTTGACATTTTATGTAACATATGACTCCTAAATCACTTCTAGTCTTAATGTGTGATTTAGTGCATAGATATCATAGAAGAAATGATTCAATGGCGTATGATCTGTATGTTTCAGTCTTTCACGCACACATATACACTTACATACAGACGCATGTGAGATTTTCACATGAACAATTATCAGTCTTTTAAAAATATGCCTCTAGTTGTCGTGGTTACTGGGGAAACTGGCAGTGCAGGCAGAGAAAAAGAATGAGTCATTTGTGTGCGGGTGTTCATTTAGTTGGCAATTTGTATCTACTTTGTATCAGAACTATTTCATTTGTCCAAATGTATCAGTTAGTGTACGTTACGCGAAGGCTTCACGCAGCTGAACCAAATGTTTCAGCCTGATGCTGCCAAAATCACACACACACACACACACACACACACACACACACACACACACACACACACACACACACAGAGAGAGGCGCTCAATTCCAAAACATAGCCTTACTGTCTGCTGCCTACATAGGGAACCACCTTCTAAGGCAACACCCTAAATGTTATGTAACCTCATGTTGCTAATAAGCATAGAAATTATATATATATATTTGTTTTATTTGTTGTTTATTA